GSCCARGCAGTGCCTGTCCCCTGTGCCTGTCCCCTCTCCTGGCAGTGCTGGGACACACCCATTTCTGGGGCAGTTCTGGACCTTCGTGGCGAGGACACCGAAGGTCTGTTGTGTGTCCTGAGATGGGAACGGAGCTGGGGAAGGGTCTGGAACACCAGGAGGAGCTGAGGGAGTCGGGGGAGCTCAATCTGGAGAAAAGAAGGCTCAGGGGACACTTTCTGGCTCTCTACAACTCCCTGACAGGAGGGGGCAGCTGGGGTGGGGGGGATCAGGCTCTGCTCCCAGGGACAGGAGGAGAGGAAACAGCCTCAAACTCAGCCAGGGGAGGTTTAGATTGGATATTGGGAAAAATGGTTAATGAAAGGGTGCTTCAGACACTGGCGCAGGCTGCCCAGGGCAGTGCTGGAGTCATCATCCCTGGAAATATTCGATGGGTGTTTGGATGGAGAACTTTGGGACGTTTAGTGGTGAACATGGCAGTGCTTGGGGCATGGTTGGACTCGCTGATCTTGGAGGTCTTTTCCAACCTCACTGATAGCATGAATCCTGTGCYGCTTCGCAGGGTGCCCACAGCAGCCAGCTCTACCTGCTGTGCCAGTACTCGCTGGGCTGCGGGGTGTCCTGCGGCCTSAGCTTCCTGCTGGAGGGGGCTCCACACCGCAGCTGGAACCTGGCRCTGGCGGCGGGGCTGGCGGGGCTGCTGGCGCTGCACGCCCAGCGCCTGGCGCGGCACGTCTGCAYCCTGTACGAGCTGCACAGCCGGGCRCGCTACTGCGGCGTCTGCATCCTGCTGCTGGCTGCGGGTCACAGCATCCCCAACCTGCTGCGCAACGCCCTGGGCATCACCTTTGCCGTGGCTGACCTGGCTGCCGTGGAGCTCATCAACCGCGACTTCCTCTCCACGGCCGAGGCCGTGCGCTTCTGGACCCCGCTGACCATCTGCTACACYCTGCTGGTCGTCTACATGCAGGGTGGGTGGGGGACCAACCCACTGTGGGGGCTCTGGGGGGGATGTGGGGCCCTGTGGGATATTTTGGGGGATATGTGGGGTATACTGGAGCTGTATGGGGGCAGATGAGGGGTCCTGGGGGTGTATGGGGAGTGTACGGGATGTACTGCAGGTRTGTAGGGTGTACATGGGGTGCCCTCAGGCTGTACAGGTGGTATATATAGTATGTCCCGGGAGTGTGTAGGGCCCATATAGGACACCCTGGGGGTGAATAGGAGGTATATGGCACATTCTGGGGATATAAGCGGTGTTTGGGGGTCTGTAGGGGGGGTATGTGTTTATATCCTGGGTGTACATAGAGTGTGCTGGGGGTGTAGAGAGAGTGCATGGGGTGTCTCGGTGGTACATGGGGTACCCTGGGGCTGTATAGGGGGTACATGGGGTACCCTGGGGCTGTACAGGGGTACATGGACTGTCCTGGAGATGTATAAAGGGGGTACATGGGATGTATTAGGGGTGTACAGGGGGTACGTGGGCTGTACAGGAAGCTACCCCATAGTGCCCCTGGAATGTTTGGTGTCCCCCTTGTGAGACCGAGCAGGTCAGGGTTTCCCCACAGTGGCTCCCCAACGCTGTATCCTTGCAGAGGAATCCCGGCAGAGCACGGGCAGGATGCTGGTGTTCCGGACCGTGCTGGTGCGCATAGGCGGCCTCTTCATCCTCCTTCTGACCGTGGGCCGATGGAGCGACATCCTGCACGTCCTCCTGTCACTGCTGGGAGAGCTCTGGTGCCTGCTCCGTGCCGGGGTTCTCCTGGAATCCTGCTGGACACAGGTGAGACTGGGGGATGCCTCCCCACCACTATGCCAGGGTGAGGGGCTGGCAGCAGCCCYGAGGCCACAGTGAGGGGCCTTTCTGCTTCTCTCTCCTTCCATCTCCCACAGGATTTGGCTCAGCAGCCTCGCTTGGGTAGTTTGTCAGGATCCAGGTCGCAGGAATCGTCCCGATGAGCTGCGGGGTGTAACCAGACAGCWGAAAGTTCAGTGCCTTCACCGGGCACCCCCAAAATCTCCCCGCTGCAGATCCTCCATGGGGATTAAGGAAAAAAAGGYTCCTGGAAGATGTCTAACCCCATCCCATAGGATGGAGAAGGTCGGGGAGGAGACTCACGTGGCCCCCCGGTTTTTTTGGGGGACTCCATGAGGTTGCAGCACTGCTGGGGTTTGTCCCAGTGGGATTGTGTGATGCTGATGGATGTCCCTTCCTCGCTGGCTGCAGGGCCACCCTGTTGCAGCAAAGGGGCCTCCGGGAGGTTATAAATCTTGGAAAATAAAGGTTTTTTTCCAGCAAAATCCATGGGCAGAGCAAGCTGGGGTCCTGTTGTGCTGAAGAGGCACTTGGGATGGTGGCGGTGAAGCTTTTTGAGGGAGGTGGGTGGAACTCCTCCTTGGGGAAGGAAACCGAGGCACAGGGTGGGGGTGACCCTCTGGCTGGGAAGTGCCCTTGTACCTCAGTTTCCCCCTGGCCACAGATCAYTGTGCCGTGCCAGGGGGCAACAGGCCCTGTCAAGGTGGGGTGCAATTTGGGGAGGGGGATTCTGGTAGCCTGGGCATGGACCCCCCAATGGGGAGGAGGGAGCAGGACGGGGACTGGGGGCACTGGCGGCTCTGTAGGGGTATATGGGGCATCTTGGGGCTCTAGGTGTCCTGGGGGTGCACAGAAGAAATACGGGGATTTTGGGGGATAGATGGAGCTGTGTAGGGGGTCTGGGCTGTACTGGGGAACAGGGGTTATCCCGGGGGTATACRGAGGCATTAGGGCTGTACTGGGGGACACAGGCAACCCGGGGGTGTGTGGGGGGCTCATGGGGCACCCCGGGGTGTTGGGTGCCCTGAGGGTGTCTGGGGCACTCGGGGGGTCCATGGGAAAACCTGGGAAGGGGTGATCCCAGTGCACATGAGGGYACCCCCGGGGCCATGGGTCACCTCGGGGTAGATGGGGCATCCTGAAGACAGATGGGGCACCCCAAGGTCCCGTGGAGCGCTTYGGGGTGCATGGGGTAGTCGGAGGGTGCATGGGGCACCTTAAGGGACATGTGCCTCCCTCTTCCTCCGCCCGGGGCTGTGGGGCAGGCAGGGGGGAGGAGGAAGGGAGGTGGAAGAGGAGGAGGAGGGAGGAAGGGGCGGTGATGCCGGGCGGCTCTGCCTTCCCGCTGCCCCCGGCGCGCCCGCGGAGCGCACGGAGGGACCCACACCGCCTCYCCAGGTAGGGGACAGGACGGGAACAGGGTCACCCTCCGAGGGGCTGCAGGGCCACCTCCGGGCAGGGGACCCCCACGGCCAGGGAATCTCGCCCTCAAGGTACGACCTCCCCAGGTAGGGGACGGGGGCCATTCTCAGGTAAGGACCACCCCAGGCGTGAGATTGGGAATGCCCCCAAGAGGGGACAGGGGACACCCCAATTAGGAACACGGGACCCCCCAGGTGATGGCATAAGGACCGCAGAGCCATTCTGGGATGCGACATGGGGACCAAGAGCCACCCCAAAGGAGAGGATTGAGGACACTGCCAGGGAGGGGATGGGGGGCTCCCATGCAGGGGGAAACAGTGGTACCACCGCCCCATGGGGGACAAGGGCACTCCTAGGCAGGGGACAGGGGGCTTTGGGGCTGCAGAGTGTGACACAAGGGATGGTGGCGGGGCTGCAAGGCCACCGCCCAGGTGAGGGACAAGACGACAGTGGGGCCACTCAGGGTGGGGAAAGAAGGGACACCAAGGGTTGTGTCCCTCCATCCCATCCCTTCTTCCTTGGGCATCCTCGGAGCACCCTCTGAGAGGTCCCTGKGGACAGAGAGGACAGAGTTGAGGTGCAGCTCTAGAAGGCAGGGTCCCGTCTCAGTTTTGGGGGKTGTGGGGATACCCCATAAGCAGCCCTATCCCCATCAATCCCACCTGAGCTCCCATCCCTGGAGATTTTAGGGAAACCAGGGGGATTACTTTCCAGTGTGGCCTCAGCCACCCCAAACCAGCATGGAGCTACATGGGGAGGCGGGGACCCCCATTAATGCACCCCCCGAGCCTCTACCAGCCCGATGGCCCTGACTGGGAGGACCCGGGGGGTGCCGCCACGGGGCCGCCGGGATCCCATCAGCTCCGGCACAAAGAGGAATGCGATGAGCACATGGTTCCCATTAACCCCGGAGAATTTTTTTTTTTTTTAGGTTGGTTTTTTTTAATGATTATTCTTTTCTTCCCCCCTCCACCCCCCCGGTTTTCCACAGCTCTGCTTGGGAGGAGGAAAAGTGGTGGCTCCGGCGGGTGAGGATTTGGACGAAGGCCCGTAGCGCCAGAGCCCGTTCGGGGTTTTGCCGGTGGGGAGGGAGGGAAAGAGGGAACTAAGTGCTCGGGGTTCTCTTTCCTCTTTAATCCCTTCCCTGCTTGAGTCAGAGGGTGAAGTCACCAGCGGGAACATCCCAACGCTTTCCCCCCACCTCGGGGAGTCTGTCTGCCCCTAAAGGATGTGCTGACTGCCGTGAGTGGGATTTTGGGGGAGCGAAGCTGCATGAGACCAGGAACTCATCACACAGGTATTTCTCAAGCTGCTGATTCACTTCAGGCATGAACCCTGCTTCACCAACACAGCACCCTGACTAAAGTCTCAGGATTCACCCCCCGCTCCAAATCGTTTGGGAAGGGGAAGCTTTGCCCTGGCTGCTTTTCCCATTGGGAATTGGATAGTTGGATAAACAGCCCTTTTCCTTCCTGAGGAGGGTTTCTCAGGGTCAGGCGCATCCTGCCTGCAATACCAAGTGCTGCTCAGGGGATGTGTCGATATCAGGGATGTTGTGATTCACAGCACTGTGCCTCAGTTTTCCCACCTGGAAAAATAAAAGTGGGGATGCACTGAGCTGGGAAGGGATTGGCAGGGAATTGAGGGTAAGGAGAGAGGGAACAGGGATGTAGAAATAGTCAAAAAAAAAAAAAAGGATTGCAAAAGAAAAATCCTACTGCAGCCCTGTTTTTTAAAAGGAAAGGTGGATATTTCCTGCTGCCCATKGGGAGTTTAATCCCAGCGGGGTGGGTGCAATAAGAGGAAATACAGGGGATTCAAATGCTTAGGGAAAGGGGGGATTTGGCCACAGAGGTGTGAAAATGGGAGGTATCAGCTGCTGCTTCCCCAGGACTCTGTACCCTGTGTCCTCCCAGGCACGAGACCATTTATTGCYGTGACGTGGGACAGGGGCACTCGTTCCTTCTCTCTTTCCGGGAGGAGGGAGGYGGGTTAATGCTGAACGCACCACGGCTGCAGGAACTGCAGGTGTGTCCGTGAGTTTTACTCTCTTTTTTTCTTATTTTCCCAAAATCGACCCCAGCTCCAGCCCTTCTATGGCTTCAGCAATGTTGCCAGGGAAAGCAGAGAAGAGAATCGCCTCGTCCATCTTCATCACTCTGGTGCCACCGCAGAGGGGGGTGGCCACCAAGGAGAAAACCCAACGGGAGCTGCAGCCAGACAGTGCCGAGGTTCCCAGCACCCATTGCCCCCAGATCCTGCTATCACCTCCCACTTTGTCCAACAGAGGTGAGGGGTGTCTATGGGGGGCTGTGAGCAGTGCTGAAAGATCATGATGGGGCTGAGGAGGCTGTGGAGATGCTTTGCCAAAGGATGTGTGTGCAGAAGGGGATGTGGGGGRTGTTTTTGGGGGGGTTATTCCCCAAATCTGTGCACCCATCCCGGGATGCATCCGGCTCCTGGGGAAGGGCTGTGTTTGCTCTCCATTGCTGGGTCCTTATCGGTGCTGTTTGTCCCCACTGGCCACGATGACGTTTGCTTTTGGGGCAGGTCTGCAAGCGCTGCTGTAAAGCTGTGAGGGTGTTACCATGACAGGGTTGATTGTGATGGGGCGTTATCGGACATTACTGATCCCCTAAACTCCTCACATCTGTCTGTTGCTGCAGAAACCCACACAATGGCCCCTGTTCCTTCATCCTCACCAGCCCTCACTCTCTCCAAAGCACCCCAGCCCTCGTCCACAGAGGCGCTGGGTCTGGCACTGCAGCAACTGGACCTTGACRCATCCACCACCCTCCAGGTGAGGATAACAGGGTGCAGACCCCCAGTGCCTCAGTTTCCCCACTGCAGGGGACATGGCTTTGCCCACTGCAGTAACATGGYTTTGCCCTTGCCCGCTGGAGCAGGCCCCTTCCACCTTCCCTGCTGAACTGAAGCCACCTACGTTCTGCCAGGAGCAAGCAGGCAAGCAGCAGKGGCAGGACACAAATGGGTACCCAGAGAGGGACAGCTCCAGAGGTAAGGAGGACMTAGATGTGCATGGGCTCATCCCCACTTAGGGAAACTGAAACATGCAGCTCCAAACCGTTCTCCCTGCCTCTTGCAGACATCTGTGCCTTCTGCCACAAAGCTCTGGGGCCCCAGGAGCTGACGGTGGAGGCAATGAGGAAGCAATACCACCCTGACTGCTTCACCTGCCGCACATGCCACCGGCTCCTGGCTGGGCAGCGCTACTTCCAGAAAGATGGGTGCCCCATGTGTGACACCTGCTTCCAGGTACCCATCCTCCTTCCGGGAAAACCAGCACCCTCGGGATGTCCCTTGGGGTGCAAGCTGGCATCTCATGGAGTGCATTCCCTAAATTACAGGCCACGCTGGAGAAATGTGCCAAGTGCCGGGGTCTGATCACGGAGCACATCGTCCGTGCCCTGGGCAAAGGTTATCACCCCAGCTGCTTCTGCTGCGCTGCCTGTGGCCGGTCCATCGGCACCGAGAGCTTTGCTGTGGATGAGCAGGGTGACACGTACTGTGTGCCTGACTTCTACAGGTTGGTGATGGGGGGTGTCCCCCGCACTGGGAGCGGGGATCAGCTCATCTCCATCACCCCGCAGGGCTCACACCGTTCCCATTTGCCCCTGTTAGGAAATACGCCGCGGTGTGCGGTGCCTGTGAGCGCCCCATTGTGCCCTGCGAGGACGAGGATACCTACAAGATCGAGTGCYTGGGACGCAGCTTCCATGAGAGCTGCTACCGCTGCGAGGTACAGCCCAGGGGCTGGGGGGCCCTAAAGCCAAGGGGGTGGCACTGAGCCTCGACTGAGCACAGACACAGGGATGGCAGCACCCACTGTTGTTTTTTAGTCCCCAGTTTATCTTACAAGTAATGAGGAGGGGGAAAATAAATAAATTGGGTGGTKGTGATGATGATGATGTGTTTGGAGAGCCTCAGCTTTGCACACTTTTGATATAGTTTGTCACTTTTTTGGAGCACTGGTGGGTTTTGCAGGGAAAATGTGATCTAATGCAACACCCTAAAATGTGGCTTCCTTTGCCCCTCTTTCCCCCAGAGCTGTGGGATGYCCCTGTCCCCAGAGCTGACGGAGAACGGGTGCTACCCCCTGGATGACCACMTCCTCTGCAAGTCCTGCCATGTCCGCTGGCGCAATGAGTCGTCCTGCTGAGACCCTGCAGCTCATCAATCTCCCTCTTCCAGTGCCAGGCATCAAAAAGGGGGTGCACTGACTGGGATGCACCCTGTGGCTGAACCTGGGTGCCTGCTGCATCCCCAAATTACAGCAGATCTGGTGTTTTCATTACCAAAATGTCCTCAGGACCCTTACCTGGTGGGCTGGCGGGCTGGAGAATTGTGGATACGTCCCAGCCCAGCTCTGCACTCATGATGAACATAAAACGCCCTGACAGAGCAGCAGTGGCTGCTCTGGCAGAGGAGTGGAGTTTTTATTTYTTATTTCTTTTTTTAAACTCCTTTTTTCAAGGCCAGTTTGGTTTTCTTGGGTGGTGTTGCTTTCTTCTCTAGCTTCCTTGGGGTTTCACTGAAATGTTTCTCTCTGTGGAGAGCGAGCACTGATTAAGTTACTCGCAGTTAAATAAAACCCCAAGTTTAAAATTCATTCCTTTCATCTACCCTGCATCYCAAACCTATCAAATCCAAGTTTAAAAATAAGGGGAAAAAAGCAACTTTTTGGATTTTCTTGGYGTGGCAGGATTTGGGTCACTCAGGTCCCATACCAGTTGATTTTGGGGTGTAGCGATTTGCCAGATGCCGCTGTCAGCCGGGGGAGAGCCGAGTGTTGTTTTTTGTGGTGGATTTGGGATTTGGCGATGTGCTGTGATGTTGATAAAAGGGTTTTTGGTGGGTTTTGGGGTTTTTTTTGCTGACTGTGTGTCCTAGAGCCGGCAGAGGGCAGCCACCGCACAAATTCCTCCATCAGGCCGGAAAACTCCAGCTAAAAGCATCCTGCAGCGCCGGGATGCCGAGAAAGATGGACAGCCTCACTTCTGCACGTTMCCCAAGATTATATTGTTCCGCCAGTATAAGCTTTTTGATCTTGCCTCAGTCCAGCCCTCAAACCAGCAGAAATTTCTCTGCATGTCAACATCTGCGCAACCGATGTTGCCGGTGCTTAGTGGTTTCGTTTGCAAGGGCGTTGCAAACCAGGCGGAGAAACTTTTTAACTTTCTTTTTAACTGAAAGTGCTTAAAAAGCCACAAATCAAGAGCAGAAAATAGCAAGAGTGTGTGAGATGATGGTTAATGCTTTCCTGATGGAAAAAATGGAGCTGTAAACAAAGAAAACAACCACCAGACCAGCAGCTCCTGGGTCACGTACAACATCTCTCTGGCATGTGCTGTGTTTATGAGTGAAGGGGTTAATGATGGTTAATTAATCACACCAATAACTATTTCCTGATGACTCTTCCCTGTCTACAAAGCTGATTACTCAGGCTTTGTTAACAAGCATCTCTGGGCTATCAATCACGTCATAACTTGCTCTAAATATATTTATAAATAAGTTGTGGTCTGTCCTGGTCGTGTAACCTGGTAGCTTTGGGTCGGGTTGGGTGGGAACTTTGTCCCATGCCAGGGAATTCCCATGCTCCAAGTCAGCTCTCACCTTCCATACCTGCTTRCACTGTGAGGAAAATCTGGCATCAAAATKATGCTAAAAAGGTAAAAAGATGTGACAGGGCCAAAGGGAGAAGGAAGGAGAAATCCCAGAGGGCAAAGGGCGGCTTGGTTTTTTGAAACATATTTTTCTAAGCAAGGTTTTTGGGAAGGATGGAAGTGCCAATGCTGAGAAGTGTTTCAGATGTGTTATTGCMAGCTGCGCTACCCCTCAGCAAAGGAATGGTGGGAAGAGTTGGGTATTTTCCCCTTGGAGCCTTCCAGGATGGGCTGTTGGCACTGGGACTGYGGAACTTTTGGCTGGAGGTAGGCAGGAAAATTGACAAGCAGGCTTGGAGAAGGTCCTGGAAAGCAAGGAGAAATGAAAGGCATGGCTGGAGAGTTTGGCAGCGTGGTGAAGGGATGTGATGTGGTCAGATTCAGCGTGGTTTTTCAGGAGTGGAGTGACAAGGGACAAGGATGGATGGACATAGGGAGGAGGACAAAAGGCTGATTTAAGCCATTTTATTYGCGGGTAAAGGGAGAAGCGCCATGAGCCGAGGCGCAGGGAGCATTGCTGTGCCTGAAAAGCAMAGCCCCGCATTTTCCCTCGGGAGGAGCTCGAGGAATTTTGAGCCGTACGAAGGAGATCCTGCAGGGGTGAGGCTGCAGGAGCCGGATCCCGTCCGCTGCCGAGCAAACCCAGACTGGCTCAGCCCGTCCTTGGGCTCCTCACCCTGCCACGAGCATTTCTGCAAGCACCTAGGTCTGCAAAAAATAAACCAAGCGTACATCCTGCCTGGAAAAATAACATTTTGGGGGGCTGGGCTCCAAGGCCTTGTGGAGCCCCATGGGATCACCCAGGTCTGCTTGAGGTCCCTCCTCTTGTCCCCGAGGCAGTGCCAAAGGCAGAGAGGATCCCAGAGCTCGGAATGGCTCTGGCCCTCCCTTGKTTGCTGCAATACACCCGTCAGCTCTTGCAATCCCTCTTGGCAGGCCGAGGAGAGCGGGAAGGATCTGGCTGCCCTCCAAGGAGCAGCAAATGCAAATATTTCCCCACTTCAGGCTGGGTGCGGCCCGTGGATRAAATTTCCTCGGGCTTTCCCAGCGAAGGCATCTGATATCTCGCTSTGCTGCGAGGCCAACTTGCTCCCAGGAATACAACGGTGCATCCTATAAAAAAACCCCAAAGGTTATCTTTTTACAACTCAAAGGATTGCCTGATTTTTAAAAAGAGGTTTTAAATTGAAGAAGGAGCTGCCAGGCACAGCTGTAGTGGTTATAAATCAGTGGTTAAAGTGTTGCTTCATGAAAAAAAAAAAAAAGAAAACAAAACCTTTTTGGAGGTTTTGCAGGTCTTTTTGGAAAATGGAAGATTTGTAGTGTGGTGTAAGGAGAGTGGGATGATAAAGGGGCTGGAAAACATACTGGGAGTAGGACTGGGTGCTGCTGATGGTTTTTCTCAAACAGGATAGAAAGAGCTGCAGGAAAACTGAGCTTTTCCTTTGGATCCCAGGTTAATGGCAGCCACATCCCAGCTGGTTCCCTTCAGCRCTGTTCTTCCCCACAGACCATTCAGACCGATTTTCTGCACTTTCCTGTCTTCAACACAGCCTAAAAAGAAATTTATTTCTTAAATGAAAAGCTGGTTCTGCGAGAGGTGAAAATCAGCAGAGATTATACCAGGAACAGACCAAGCCTGGATTTCTCCAGCTCATGCAGCACAAGTGGGATACATATACATAAATATTTAAAAGGCTGTATGCTAATATTCTCCTTTTTTTCCCAATTTTCCTAGCAAAACTGAACCACCCACTGCCACAATGTAGTTTTAAAACAGTAGTTTTGATAGCACAAGGGGAAAGGGATGAGGTGARTATGCAAGCGCCTTACCAGGCTGCGAGTGCTACACTGGCTTCTTTATAAAAGATATAAATAAAATAAAGGATAAAAAGTCCAACCCACCCTATTTCTCAAAACAGACACACAGCATACACTTGCAAGCAGGGTTTTGCTTTCATATCCCAGATTTCCTTCATCGTATCAACAACTACAACATCCTGCAGCCCTATTTCCTGAAAATTACTAATTTTCACCCAGATTTGGCTTCAAGTGGTTTTTAGTTATATCTTTATTTTGYTGGAGTATCCAGTTGAGCAGTGCGAGTGAGGTGTTTTATTAAAATAAAAACAGGGCTATTTTTCAAAGAGGTTATACCCTCTGTCAAGGTGGATTATTGACCTCAGGCATTTATCACCGCGGGAAAAGAGTGGAGAAGGATGGGGAACAAATGTGTATAATATAATAATATATCCCTTAATTCTCCGTGCGGCTAAACTTCCCCTCACAGCAAAGCTGGGGAATATGCTTTAATCTCATTTATTGGATTGGTTCGTCTGAGTATGGATTTT